CACGCCGTCTGCAGCCGGGTGACGGTGATCTCGCTCTTGGGCAGCTCCAGCTGCGGGATGAGGATGGCAGAGTAGCCCAGGACCGCGCCGTCCGGGAGGTAAAAGCTGTTGGCGACCACGCAGGCTGCGATCTATGGAAACGAACACGTTCAAACAGAGTGAGCAATTAAGACAAATTGTGCGGCTTTTAACTTGTTTCCATATTCGATGCAGTGATTGGTTAAACCTGTGGCAGCACGGTGCGCAGGGACTGCTGCTTGACGCAGTCCACCTCCTCCTCCTCATCCTTGCGTGCTCCTGGCGGCGGGCCATCGCTGCAACAATCGGTTGGTTATGTGATGCGGAGCCGCGGAACGGTCGCGGGGACCGCCAGGACCACCGGGGACCGCGGGGGAGGAAAGCGGTGACATATTGTTTGATAAAGTACATCCTCACGCGTCGGCACGGTAGGACCGACGAGTGCGAGGGAATCCCGGGCAATATTTGTGACGAGTGGAATTTTTCAATCAGTTATTCATTTACAAGCATAGTAATTTTTTTTTCAATCTAGCCTGTCTGTCTCTGGTGTTTCTTCTTTTTGGTCATAGTCATTGTTTATACTATATTTCAGTTTTCTTTTTATTATGTTGTTCATTAGTTGGCTCTTATGATCGATTTAGTCTCGGTAAAGTTAGTAAAGCTGGAACCACCCTAAATCGATCAATACATGAAGCACAAAATAAGTTATCGTCATGTTCTAAAATTGACATTTATCTGTTTTGACGTCAGGTGTCAGGTATATGCCCCCCCCCCCTTAGAAAACCAAAGGCGCACATAGTCGCTAACGCGTAGGCGCACACAAACAAACATAGGAAATGGGGGAAAACGCGCGCACACACACACACACACACACACACTCACACACGCACAGAGAAAACCCTCACCCGCACACAAATGTATGGCATTGGCATTTACCTCAGGGTCATCTCTTAGAAGCTGGCGGCATCAGCGGCGCCCTGGCACAAAACAAACAGAACAAGTGTTGTGCACAAAAAGGCGAGTGGAAGACTCCGGCCGCAGGCGAGGACCCACACCTGGGGCCGGACAAAACATTTCATCCGATCGCCACCATACCAACAACAATAACAAGAGTTCCAGGAGTGAAATCGGCACCCCTGCCAAAAACGCTCGTCATAAAGTGCACCGGCTTGTTGTGCAAAAGCGTCGTGACGTCAGAGCGGGCTCAAAGGACCGGGCGGTGGGCGGGCCATGGCAGGAGCCACAAGATTGTACGTACGAGAGGGGCGAAGACAGATATAGTGCGTCTGTGGGTGCGACAAGACAACGACAGTCGTCCAAGCGGAAATCTGTTTCTAAGTTACAAGACGTTCCAGACGGGACAACCTCAAAGATGTAGTTGGATGTTCGACGCGCCCGTGTAGCACCTAGACGAGGAGAGGAAGACGCAAGTCGGAAGTAGGAAGTCGGATGTCTACCCCAACACGCTCCGCAGGTGGGTGGCTGTGGCGGGCTGGTGTGTGAAAGGAGGGGAGAAGGAGGGTGAGGAGGGTGAGGATGAAAGGAGATGAAGAAATGAAGAGGAAGTCGAAAGCGAAAGGGGAGAAAAGGAATGGGGAGGGGGTGGGAGGAGGGGAAGAGGGTCATAAACGACTATACGTCATAAAGCGGGCTCAGTACCCTCTCAAAAATAGTAGAAATAGTATAAAATCATTATTATGGCGTCCCAGGAAATGCGGGATATGACTTTACAAGACAAGGATGGACCCCCTGTTTGACCTCGGCGGTGTTTGGCCTTCTCGAGATCTTCTCCCGTTACGCGATAAGAGCCTATTTTGGAATGTGTTTTCCCCACTTTCAAATAGTTCTTTTCTTTTTGTACTAATTTTAAAATAAACACGTCCTGTGGAATGAAACAACCTGGACTTTCGCTACACGCAAACAGGGCAAATTAATGTAAATAAGCCAAGCAAATTTTGCCGCAGCACCAAAAACAAAAAACAAAACTTGACTGAACGAGAACGGACAAAAAACTGGCCCTTCAGATAAATTGTCTTAGCGATACAGTTAACTGATAAGTGCGGATTGCTGTGCAGCTAAATAACACGTGACATATTCGCACTGGTGGGGAACAAAAATGTTAACAAAATAGATGGGCCTATTTCCGCAGGGAGGTCACTGTCACCGTGAACTGTCAGATTTTGGTCCCCTTCCCCCCTTTTACACCCTCTTTTCGGTTGGTGTAGAAGGAAGTTTGAGGTCCGATAAGGTATGCCCCGCCACACGGGCACACGCCACTTTATCAACGGCTGCAGTGACAGACGAGGTTTTAATCGCCCGCGGCGGCTTCCGTTGGCCACGGTGGCCCGCGACTGCTGGACGCACTCGCGGGGAGGGACCCGGATGTGTCACCGCCACCGCCGCGACATATTCCGGCGACTAGCATGGGAAATGGCCGTCGCGGGACTGTGTGTGCGTGTGAGAGAGATAGAGTAAGAGAAAGAGGGAGAGAGCGAGAGAGCGAGAGAGCGAGAGACAGAGACAGAAACAGAGAGAGACAGATAGAAAGGCCCTCCCTCACCGCCCTGCCAGCCTCCCTCACACCCACCCGCCAGACGTTAGCGGCGGGTGGGTCCCGGTCCCGGTGCCCGGCTGCGCTGTTGTGCCGTTGTTGGAGCTGGTGCTTACCCAGTGCGGTCGTGCCAAGGCCCCGTCCTGTCCTCTCCTCGTCGTGTCCGGGCAGACTCTTGCTCCTCCGCGTCCCGACTGCGGACCGTCCGGGTCGGCCACCCGAACCTGAACCTGCACCACCACCACGCACCACCACTGCCCTGCCCCGGCCCTGCCCCGACGGCCGCCCCTCCCCGCCGATCGGGCCCCGGAATGCGAACGACGAAAATGGAAAACCGACGGCCGTCCTCCTCGCCGTCCTCTCAAACATGTAAGGTCCCGGATCAGAGGAGCCCGGCTCGGCTCGGCGCGGTCCGGCGAGCGGTCGGTCGGTCGGTGGTGCAGTCCCGCGCGGCGCGGCACACGGCACAGAGTGAACGGGGAGAGAAACCGCGCGCGCGGCCGGGACCGGGCCGGAGGGGACCGACGGGGACCGGCGCGGGGACCGGCGGCTGCGGGTGCCAGGGCAGGTACCGGGTACCCGCCGCCGGCCCGGCTCCCCCTCTCCGCCCGACTAGTCTGTACACCCGATCGGGCACTGTGACACTCACACTCGCACACCCACACGCCACCGCGCCGACCGGCAGCAGCAGCAGCAGCAGCAGCAGCAGCAGCAGCAGCAGCAGCAGCGCTGTGCGCGCGGACACACACACAATAAGCAGCAGCACAGCAAAGGCGCTATCGAAAACACTCTCTGGTACGACACAAAACGCCGCGCGCGCTGTAATGTGGTATCTGATGTGGCGGTTGGTTGCCCGCGCCAACTGAGTCACACCCGCTCCCGTCGCTGCCACGGCCAAGGACTCGCTCGGCACGACGGCCAGGCTCCTGCGGCTGTACCCGCCTACCCTGGCGCCTGTCTTCTACTGGCGTCGCCATGACGCCGACCCTTTTCGGCGCCTCCTGCCTGCAGCGACTTCTTTTCAGGACCCATACTCGCGAAAGTCAAGCAGATTGCCAACGAAGAGTGCGCCGAGTTCCAGGCAGATGTGTGCCGAGTCAATAGCTATTATTCAGTCCAGCGACGCGCTGGTGAGCGCAAGAGAGCGAGCGAGGGAGCGCGAGAGAGCGAGAGAGAGAGTGAGAGAGAGAGTGAGAGAGAGCGCGAGAGAGAACTAGAGAGCGCGAGAGAGCACTGGACAAGTGAGGGACAGAGCGAGAGAGTGAGTGCGTGGGGAGGAAAAAGGCTCCATAGTCCACGCTCTAGCGCGAGCAACGCGTTAAGGCTTTGATGTCGCGTTAAAGAAGCACAAAGCGGAACTTGCTTCAAAATGGATATGCAAACCACCGCAAACCGCGCGTGAACTCCGTAGGATTGTCAGCAGAGACAGTACCCGCTTTTCGTGTATAAGTCGTTAACCATAGTCAGGTTCCGTACCTAAAGTGTCGTCACTTTTCGACGTGCAGACTGGCTCCAGGGGATCATTCACCGCCTGTCATTCACCGATAGATAAAACTGTCAAGT